TTGTGCACATGTTTAATTAGACATCTACCTCTATCTACAATAAAATTATTATTTTTCTCACAAATCAAACCCACATTTTACGGCAAATTTCTTGGAATATCGTCAAAAGTGAAAATTGTCAAAAAATTGGTGTTGTTTGAGGTGATTTTCGGAATAAGGGATCGCCGCATCTGAGATGTGAGACTTCTAATAAAAATATTTTTAATTTTCATTTATTTTGAGTTCTTTAGTTTTGTATTTTTTTAAAAATTTTTGTGAAGGCTTCATGAGCGCAAGGAATTGGAACATTTGATCGCGAGTAGATAAAGTATTGTGCTCATATCATCAGATAGCAAAGAAGAATCCAAGATGATGTTTTCCTTTGGAATTCAATTCCTTCGCTTCCTTTATTTTTTTTTTTTTTTTGGGATTTGGGTATTTTATTTATTTTTTAATAATTTGAACGTAGAAAGAGCACCCTTCTGCATTGAGAATAAGCAGTGATATATTCTTTTTTTCCTTTTTAATAAATGTAACATTTATTAAAAGGTAATCGCGATGAAGTTTTTTTTTCGTAAAATGTAACCTTAATTAGGCTTAATTAGGATTTAGGGTTTAACGTTTTACATGAAACCCTAATTTCCCAACCATCACAATGTAACCCTTTAACCTAATTTTAAAATTAAAATTCTTAAATCATATTACTAAAATTCTATTATAAACCAGAATTGTCAAAAATTTAATATATGATATTAGAATAATGTTAATTTTATAAATTTAGATAATAATCAAGCATGCTATTAAATTACTAATAAAATTAGCCAAAGTCATAATTTAAAATTTTTTAATATTAATGTTAATTTAAATAATAATAAATAATGCAACATTGAACAATATTTATAGAATGTAATAATTAATATATAAATTAAATAATATTTACTATTTACTATTTACCATTCACCACTATTTATCATTTATCATTTACCATTTACCACTTACTTTTTACTATTTACCATTCACCATTTATTATTATTCATCATTCACCTTTTATCTTCTAATGAATTACAACTTACTGGCATCATTCACCATTATCATCTACTGACAGCATATCTTGCATCATTCACCATTTATGAGTATTCATTATTCACCTTTTATTCATCATTCGCTTGAAAGACTACTGCCTCTATAAAATTAATTCTAAAATCCGTCAACAAATAATCTTCAAAAATGTAAATTATCAAGAAACAAATACATCTGTCACATAATCTAAAAATCAAACAAATCAAATAATATTTTAAAATATAAATTACACATTTAATCTTAAAAACAAACCATAAATAAATATCTGACTATTAAATTAAATAAATATAAAGTAGCATAATATCTAGAACTTAAAATAACTGTAAATATTATAAAATTATTATTAATAAAATTTTTAAATAAACTAACCTTATCACCGACAATATCGTTTCTTTAAAAAATTTCTTTCTGATCCACCACTCAAATCGTAATGTTGCTTTTCTCGATTCAAGTCGTCTTAATCCACCAGCTACTGTCGAAAAGCTAAGAGAAATATGAAGAAGATGGGGATCACACCAGAAAGAGAAAAGTTATGAGCGAGTTGAGTTTTCTCAAGTGAGTATATAGAGAAGAGAGAAAAGTTGAGGTTATCCGTGAAGATGAGGCATGAGTCGTTATTGTTGGCAATATAACAAATAATTGGATTAGTGCTACTTTGAGTACAAATTATTATTTTTTGATTAAATCATGACCTTTGATTTGTAGATCTAAAAACTTTGTAAGGATCGATGGTGGAAAAACTAATGCCGAAAATTCAAATTGCGACGTTAGTTTTAAAAAAAAAATTAGTGCATGGCCGTTAGCGTTTTTTATAAAAAAATAATAAGAGTGGCAATGACAACCGTTAGTTACCGTAGGTTAAGTGGGATGGACGGTGGCAAACTATCGCCGCAATCGGGGTTTGCGATTTTACTTAAAAAAAATTGCTTTTTCAGTTTAAAAAAAATTAATTTTGGCAGCAACCAAAAATTGCTTTTTCACTTTAAAAAAGCATTTTGGCCGCAATCTGCGTCCGTCAATCACATTCTGATCAATGGTACGTGACTGGCCAAGAAAAAACAATGACGCCACAAATTTGATTTGCAGCGTCAAGAAAAAAAAATTTTAAAAACTTGATGCCGCAAATCAAGGTTGTGTTTGGATTGCATTTTCCGTCATTTTTCATGCAAAAATTACTGTAGCGATTTAATATATGTGAGGGAAAAAGGTAATAGGGAAATGTGATCGCGGAAAACGATAATATTTTCCGACGGAAACAAGAGTTTGCGGCGTCGGAAAAAAATAAAAATTAAAAAAAAAAACTGAATGCTGCCAAGAAATTAGAAAGAAGACTGATGAAATTTGTACATATTAGCTGTAGCTGTCATGTCCGTCCTGTCATGTCCATGTCGGTGTCAGCAGAGCATGAGCGGTGAAAGCTTGGGAGAAAAAAAAATGGAGGAGAAATTATAGAAAACTAAAGCAACCAAAAATAAATATAAATTAATTGTAATTTTATTGGTAGCCTCATACCTTAAATGCGGCGACCCTAAAATCAGAACAAACCCTCAAAACCCACAATTTTATGATAGTTTTTTTATTTTATCAATATTCTTAGAAATTCGCCCACATTTTACCCACAAATTATTCACAATCAATATACATGTAGAACCCAAAAAATTCACCAAAAAATATATAAGATATATATTTCATAAAATCAATGCATATGGGAAGGCAATTTACACACATAAAAATATGTATAAGAGAAGAGAAATAATACTAACAATAATCTATTAATTATATCATAAAAACAAGACTCTTAATCTTTCACTATTTTCAACTAAACACAATAATATGATTCTTTATAGATGACTTGATAAACAAGTCTTACAACCATAAGAAATTTTCTAATAAGATATTAATTTCTAAACAACAAAACTATCATAATTTAACTTCAATAGAATTATTAAAACCCGAATTTGACTAAAACACTTCCAAATGATAATATGAAAATTTCTAATTTTGAACCGTGATTTAATATGCGGACAATACAAACTATCACTGTATCATTAAACAAGTCAATTAACACTTTTAATCATGCAATAATGTAACAAAAAATGATAAATTTAACTAAACAGCTCCGACTCATAAAAATTATTACACGTAAAATTCAAAATTCAATCATATTATTGAATACAACTTACATGCCAGCGCGGGGACCAAAAGCTACTGGTATATAAAAGAGCAGAGTTGATGGCTTATTCTTTTTTTTTTTTTTTTTACGGGAACGATAGATGTCATTTCATAAAAAGCTAACTTTACAATATCTGAGCAAAGGCCCAAGCAACTGTACTAAGTGTACCAAGACACTTAAGAAGAGCCAAAAAATCTCTCCTCATCCCTAAATATGCTTAAAGCATAATGACTAATTTGATTACATAGAGTCATATTACTACTAGTTCTTTCTTCAAAAGAGCACATTTGAAACAGATTAGCTAAAACTTGTATGTCTTCAACCAATGTAGCAGTATTTGGATTGTCACCTTTCCCAGATTTAAGCAAAGCGATAAGCTGTTTGTTAGCATTGATGATTTTGATTCTCTGCCAGCTCAATTGTCTTGTTTTCAACATTGCCAGTCTTACTGCTTCATCTTGAATATCCCTTTCCGAACTTCTTTCAACTAATTTCCATTCAGCTCTGATTCTCCCTCCAGTCTGCCTGGCTACAACACCAATTCCCAGTTTCTTGCCCTCAGCTGATTTCTTGGTAGCAATTTGAAGTTCCATCAGGTCTTCCTCCTCTCTTCCTTCCTCCCTTGATCTTTCTCTTGCTTCCTCTGTTTCTGATGTACTCCTCTCTTTTTTCCCCATCCCGGCTTCCTCATACTCCATCCATTCTGTACTAGCTTTATGTACAGTTTTCCATCCATCTCTCTCTTTCCCTTCAAATTCCATTTCATTTCTGTCCTTCCATAGTTGCCAAAGTATATTAGCTGTCAATGCAATATGCTGCCTTCCTCCATTCCTACTTCTGGCTTGGACTAATTCTGTCCACCATTGCTTGAAGCACCCTGTTTGATTCTGTAAACCATCCCATTGTACTGGTGCAAGCTTCCACACCTTCTGAGCCTGTTGATAGTGGAAGAGAATATGTTCTACTGTTTCTATGCCATCCCCACATCTTGAGCAAAATGGCGATCCTTGCTTAGTTCGCCTGAATATTGATTCCCTAGCTGTCAATGTATTCGTAATGCATCTCCATATGAATAGCTTGATCTTATGCTTAATGTTCAGCTCCCAAAGAGTCTTCCAAATTTGTGTTGGAATCATCATAGCTTGAACCAGACTCTCCTCTCGCATCACTTTCTATCCTCTTCTCTTCCTTGAGTAAAGTCTGGTAGCAAGATTTAACTGAATATTCCCCATGTCTGCTGTGTATCCAAAAGTGCTTGTCCCCTGAATTTGACAAACTGATTGGAATTTTCAAAATATTATCCGCATCCTCCCTATTGAACCTCCTGTAGACTTCATTCCTATTCCATCTGAAGTGTGAAATTAGTTCCTCCACTTTCTGCTCCTCCCCCTTGTCTGGCCCCATTGTAGTTGGTCTTCCATTCAGATTGTTTGGGATCCATTGGTCTTTCCAAATTCTAATACTCTTCCCTGATCCGACTCTCTTTAGTACAACCCCCTTAACTACCTCTCTAGCTGACATTATACTTTGCCAGAACCAGGAAGAGTTTTTGGGGATTTTACAGTTCAAAATGGAATCCTTAGGAAAATACTTGGCTTTTAGAATTTTGCTAACCAGCAGGTTTGGAAATCTGAGCATCCTCCAAATCTGCTTTCCCAGTAGCGCCTTGTTGAAGCATATTAAATTCCTGAACCCCAAACCTCCATCCATTTTTGCCTTCAGCATCTTATCCCATGAGCACCAATGTATTTTGTTTCTCCCTTCTGCTTCACCCCACCAGTATTTGGCCATCAGTCCTGTGATTTCCTTGCAAAGTGTAACTGGTAAAACAAGACATTGCATAAATTGGCATGGCCATTGTCACTGCTTTTAGCATCACCTCTTTCCCTACTGCACTTAGGAGCTTGTTCTTCCAGCTGCTGAGCCTGGCCTTTATGCTGTCTTTAATGTAGCCAAATATCTGACCTTTTGTCCTTGTGATCACCATAGGAAGGCCCAAATATTTACCTTGGCTCACTGTCCTAACCCCCTCTAAAGGCTCACAGGTTTCCTTCTTGTCTTTAGCCTTAGTGTTCTTGCTAAAACAGATAGATGATTTTTCCAAGTTAATAACTTGACTAGATCCTTTCTTATACTGATTCAAAATTGCTTTCAAAGTCCTTGCTTCTTCCCCCGCAGCTTTACAGAAAATTAGAGTGTCATCAGCAAAAAATAAGTGAGTAATAGCTGGTCCTTGTTTTCTTATTCTTAATCCACTTAATTTGCCCTGTCGTGCTGTTTTCCTTAACAGATTTGAGAGACCTTCAGAGTTGATGGCTTATTCGGTTATGTACAATTGTTTGGTAGACCAGGGTTTTTCGAAATATTTACAAAACTGTACCATCCACACCTGCCATCTACCTTTGCCACTACAACCACAAACTTGAATGTCAATGTTAACTCCTATTATGAATTGGGGATGATTTTAGAAAACTTCCCTGGAATTTCTGACAATTTTAATAGCCTCCTATAAAGTTTATAAAATTACACAAACCTCCGCCAAAATTAAGGTTTGATAAAAAAAATTAGTCCAATTAGAAAAAATAACATTAAAAAATACTTTAAGAAGAGAGATAAAATTTTTAGTCCATAAATATCCCTTATGTGTGTATATATATATATTATATTAGTAAAAGAATAAAAATAATTAAAAATTAGAAACAATTAATGCACACATTTCATCACTCAAAAAGTTCATATTTAATAAATTAAACAATACAAATAAGTAACAAAACTACAATAATAATCACAAGATTTAACAAAACAGAATAATTATCTCTTTTGACATGCATAAGGGGTATTGATGGAATAAAAGTTTCATGTCTCTCCTTAAAGTACTTTTTAATGTTAATTGTTATAATTGGACTCATTTTATTATAAAAACTTTAACCTTAGGCGAGGTTTGTGTAATTTTGTAAAACTTTAAGAGAGGCTAGTAAAATTATTAGAAACCTCAGGGAGGTTTCTGCAATTATACCTATGAACTGTGATGAATTGTGGAGAAAGAATACACACGTATACACATATATAGCCAGACACTGCGGCGATGCCGTTGCCATTGATGGGCCATTCTTTTTTGAGTTTTTTTTTCTTTTTTATTGAAAATGTTTTATTAAGTATTTTAGAAGTGTTTCAGTACTCAGCCGCGTGAATGTCTACCGACGGATTGAGAGTAGGTGTAGTTGCCCGCGGATAGTAGAACCAAGATGGAGATTTAAGATGGAGATAATTTCAGAAACCTCCTTTGAAGTTTTTTAATAATTTCACTTAGTATCCTCAAACTTTTAAAATTATACCTACCTCCTTTATTGATTGAAAATGACAATACTAGACTTAACATTCTATTGAAACTCCCTTATTTGCTATGCTTATACAAAGGATGCATTTTATAATTTTTTCCCTTTCTCCTTCTTATTCATTTCTCTTATAGTTTATCGAAAAAACTAAAAAAACTATCAATGTTGTCCCTAACTCTATCCTGATCAAACGTCAAACTAATAACATTTGTTTGATAGCTTTTAATATCATCTAACCTTTTGTAGCTCTTTATTTTTGTATCAAAATCAAGAATAAATTAATAATAACCTAGAAACAAAATCACTAACAAACAATGGTAGTTTCACCACTCAAATAGTCCACAAACTTTAAAAAAGTTAAGATGCCATTTTATTCTCTATCTCAAAAAGAATCTATTTCCCCAATAAAGTAGTATAAAAAGTAGTTTATTATAGTGATAAATTTATTGTCATAATTGATTACCAAACAATAAATATTAGCATGAAAAACTTGACACTCATTCTTTGTAATTGTATCAAATTACTTTACAATTATTTAGAAGAATAAATTAAACTTTCCAAGATAAGACATTTTAGGGTATTCATTAAAAATTTGAACCTATTCTAAGTTTTGATTACCAAAAGTGTCAAATCAAGGAAGATAAATATAATATTTAAAATTTCAAAAGTGCTAAGTGAAATAGTCAAAAACCTCAGGGGAGATTTCTAAAATTATCTCTTTTATAAAATGCATGAATTTTAAAAGGTAATTAATATTTGATACTCAGACAAAAGTTCTAAATTTCATTTTATCTTAATCAACGCAAGTTGTCAAAGTAATGAGAACTACTAGTCAATAGAGGATTTGAGACAAATAAATACTTCTTCCGTCTCATTATTAATGTCATGCTTTCATTTTATTGATGTCCCAAATAAGAGTCATTATTTTTAAATTTGATACTTGCTTTCTAATTTTGCCATTTGAAAGACAACTCTTTAAAATTTTAGTGCACATTTAACAAGGAAGTATTTTGAATCAAAAGGATACATATGTAAATTCATTAAATACCATTTCATCTAAACATAATGATTATTATGTCTCTATAAAAAGTTGGATTTCCAAAAAGTGATTGTAATATTGGGACGGAGAGAGTACAATAAAAAATAAATGTATCCATTGTGACAAAAAAAGAAATTGAGACTGTAAAATGCAAAATATTTGTCAATTATTTAAAATTATTTGTAGTCAATTCTTTTTTTATTTTTTTAAGGACAAGTTTGGATAATTTCAACTCTGATCATCATTATTACGGATTAGACATATTCTTGGCATTATATTATTTACCTAACACTCACATCAGCAACAAAATCTGAAAAAAAAAATTTATGAGAAAGTAGTTTGTTCTCGTCAATTTTGGCCTTTATAGTCAATTCCATTCCTTTATTCTTAGGAGTAATTTAAAAAGCCTCTCTTAAGACTTTTAAAAAATTCACTGGTCTTCCCTGAGATTTGCAAAATAACAATGACCTCCCATGGTAGAATTATGGACCCAATTGCTTACATCACATAGGAAGAAATTACTCATATACCCTAAGACATTATATTTTATTAGAAACTAATATCTAACAATTGAGTAATTATGGCACTAATTAACTATTAGTAACTAATTAACAAAAATAACTGTTGGAGATTTTTTTAATGATGAACAATAAGTTGCAATTACAAAATGGTGCTAATTGATATATCAAATGCGCCATTTTGTGATTGATAAAACTTGACAATGGCTAGAAATAAGTTATACATAATGTAAAAAGAAGGGGTTTGGTAGAAGAAAGAAAACACAGGGCAAAGAAAGAGAAAAAGAAGGCCGTTTATGAGAAAATTTTTTCTGAAACTCTTAAACTATGATAGTTGCAAAGCAACTTCATGGAGGTGAATGAAAAAGGAGGAAGAAAAAAGGCAAAATTTGAAATTTTTTCTACTCAAAATCATAAGAATAATAGCAAACCTCATGTTAAGAGATATGACTGGTCTATTTTATTGAATCTTATGATCATTAGTGTAGTTTTGTTGTTTATTTGTATTGTCTAATTTGTTGAATGTAAACTTTTTGAGCAGTGGAATGCGGTGTTAATTGCTTTCAACTTTTAATTGTTTTCATTCCTTTTTTTTTTACTAATACAAATTGTACGCATGCATAAGAGGCATTTATGGAATAAAAGTTTCATCTCTTCTCAAAGTATTATTTTAATAATATTTTTTCTGACTTAGATTGATTTTGTTACCAAAAGTTTAACCTCAAGGGAGGTTAATATAATTTTGTAAATTTTAGGGAAGGTCAATGAAATTGTTGAAAACCTTAAGAGAGGTTAATGAAATTACCCTTTTACAAACTTCTAGACCTTTAATAATCGACGTTTAAATAGTACTATACCTTTTAAAGTTCGTAGACCTTCAGCAGTGACTTGTTCACGTAGAAAATTAGATATGAACTAGTTTAAATGCTTCAATAGTTCTACATTTTTTGAAATTCAGACATGGCAATACTTCTTTCTAGCTTTGCTACGGGTAGGCACCAATTAGGTGTCCGTGTCATGAGGCTTTTGATTGACCTGATCTACATGTTGTGAGTCAGTTATTTTGTGACCCTTTTCCGCTCTGCATGTCAACGAATACCCAATCATCAAATACCCATTAGAAAAGGGTTAGATTTTGTGCTTTCTACCCTTTGCGCTTTTTCGAGAGCGTCACTAAATGTTTCAACCTGTGCTGCGGCAAGGGCATCTTGGATTTCCAAATCTAATCCTTGGATAAACCGTCTTATTTTCTTCCGTTCAGTAGCCACCAATTCTGGGGCATATGTAGATTACTTTGTGAATCGAGTTTCGTACTCAGCCACACTCGAAGTTCCTTGACGAAGATTTATAAAATCATCTTCTCTCTTTTCTTGGACAAGTGGAGGAAGAAATTTCTCATTAAACTCTCTTACAAAGTTTATCCAAGTCTTTGGAGTTTGATCTTTTTTCCACTTATTTCTTATAACATTCCACCATGCTCGGGCTGCTCCTTCAAGTTGAAATACAGCAAAGGTGACTTGTCTTTCTTCTGTGTAATCCAAGGCATCGAATATATTTCTTATATTCTCTAACCAATTCTCAACCACCTCTGGATCAGGTCCTCCAGCAAACTTGGGCGGGGAAAATTTCTGAAACCGCTCTAAAGCTCGATCCTCCCCCATTTCTTGGTTTTCACGTTGGTTTCCTTGTCCAACACCTTGACCTTGTTGAGCTACTAAGAGCTCTAGGATATCCGTCATGCGAGTTAAAACTTGTCCCATCTGGTCATTTCCTCTCCCAGCACTTAGCTCAACGTTTTGATCAATATCGGACCCATTAGCTACTCTTTCATTTCGGGGTTGTCTAGGTTGATGTCCCTTTTGTTGTTCTCTAGTTTCCATGTTCACAGCTAGTCTATACACATATGTATAAACCTAACACTTAGCTAAAATTGAACTATACTCATATACCGGTAGCAACATTTAAAGAGGATGAAGTCACTTACACAAATAACATTATCACTATGCAAGTAAACACAAACTAGAGTTCATTAAATCATAACACAAATTATGGTCAAGTAAAGTTCATGCCAAGTCAAAGTCAATAACAAAAATAAACAAGTGATTATCACAAGTACATTTATCTCCAAGGCGCAAACTCTTAGGTTCCACTCCCATCGTCTCACTATGAAAGATCACAAGTAGGGATCCACTAGATTAATTGAAACTAGATGATTCTCGTTCCCTAACATGCTCGATTTCAATCCCAACACAAGGATCTTTTGGGTTACAATATTTTCCATCTTCCACTCTTAATTATTGTACCATCTTAACCAAACAATTAGTGGTTTCCTGTAACCATTCACATGAAATATCGATTCATTCTTATTCCCCAAAAATGGAGATATAAAGTCCTTATGGTTGCCCTCAACTCTCAAGTACTCGGGTACAAGAATCCGAAATAAGGTAATTCACAACTCGAGCCGGCCGGTCCCAAGAGTAAATCACCACATTCGAGATTCCTACCCAACATACATATCAAATTCCCTCCAATCATCAAGATAAAGGTTTTACAACCTATAACATTCATGATTCACAGCTTACATTTTTAGAAGGGCACTTAAACCTTTACTCAATCACATAGTAAGGACCATAACACCACTTGGTCCTATCTTGCTCCTTTGTAGAGACCACGTGAATTGGCTCTAAATTTCATCGCTACAAGCAATCATTTAACTTTCAGACCAGTCCCACAGTCCGGCATCCTAAACATTTAAGCCTAGGATACACTACAAAGATCTGAAGCCTAAGCTCTGATACCAACTGTGACGCCCCCACTTCTCCCTAAGGCGAACCAAAGGGTATCCGCGGAACGCCTGCCCAGCTCTCGCCAGGACTCACTACAATCCATCATTCAAAAGCTCGAAATACTTTAAGTAACTTCAATGCATAATTAAAGTACATCAAATATCTCACACTTACAATTATGTAGCTTTCAAGCTTAAATACAACCCAACGGAAAAGGGTACAATAGCCATCCGTTATAATATAACTTAAAGTTTTCAAAAGAAAACAATCTAGTACTACTCACGAGCACCCTTGGTCTCGAACCCTGTAAAAGAAATTCACAACGTGGTATGAGCTACACAGCCCAGTGAGATTCCAAGACACTCTAACAGTTCAAATAAATCAAGTAAGTTGGGCATATCATATGCATGGTTCAAGGTTACACAATGGCATGTTATCATGAGATGATAATCATTGTACGGGTAATTTGAGACATTTATCATGGTATGAGACATTAGCATGTATAGTTCACGAGTGATTGGAGCTTATTACAGGCATAGCTCAGGATTTCATGTTGGCATTTTAGCACGAAACAATCATCATGATACCAGGTAAACATATACTGTAGGATACGGTGTTCCAGTGGAACTCTGTCGGTCATCTGCACCTTATGACTTCCGGATCCCCTCGGTTTGACTGGCCATCACCTTATCCCTCCAGTGGTAATACTCGAGTATACCGAAACGGTGTCCCAAGGTTCCAACCTACCCGACCGAGCCCAGTCCTGGCTCGAGTAGGTTAGTAACGATGAGCAGGGCCCAATTCAGCTTAGAGCTTACAACATGCACAAGTAATCAAGTAATTCGGCAAAAGGTAAAATTCATAATTTGAGTAGGTCGAGTGAGGTAAAGTACACACTCGCCTAACAATGATGGACAACTTCATATAACATGCGATTCATGATAATCAAGTGATCAAGTAAGTTGGTGATTACGTAAGCAGATAATCAAGTAAGCAAGTAGCCGAATAGATTAGAAAACGGTAAGTAAACATGGTTAACGGTAAACGGTTAACGGTGGTAATTACGGTTAATTGGTAGACATATGTCATTTTAATAGGCCACCATTGGCCGTTTTCACTTTTTCCACATAAGAGTCGAGGAGATTCACTCCAACCGACTTATGCTGTCATAGCATAATTAATCATTTAAACACATCATGTAGATATGCTCTCCAAGCATTTCATATCTAATATTTCAAGTAATCACATAAATATGCTCTTTAAGCATTTCATATCGAATAGTTCAAATATACATATTTCAGGTATTTCATGTCGAGTAATTCAAGTATACCTTATTCAGATATGCATGAGTGTGGTAAATACTTAACATAGAGCACTTAACACTTAATAATCATGGGTTATGCATGTCATAGACTTATTCCAATTACGTATTCCTATATGGAACACTCACCTATAGCAACAAGAGAGTAATACTCAAACAAATGTCTAGACGTCCACTTCGAGTTCCTCTTGAAGGTCCCCTTGAGCGCCTGGGCAAATAACCATCAACTATTATACACTATCACTTAGAACCCCTACTTATCAAAGAAGGTTATACAATCTAAGGGGAATTCATTAATTGGGCCTTAATTATTAATAATCGAGGCTCAAGAGTAAAGTTTTAAAGTCTAAAGAGAGAGACTAATATTTTCCATGAAATCGAGTTCAAAATGTTCAATCGGTATCGAGAAAAGAAGGCAAGTTTCCAAAATCTCATTTTCTAAGAAATTGACAAATTTCAGCTTTGGGTGTCAATTTTAGAAAAATCGTATCTTGCACTATGTAGGTCCAAAATTGGAAACCTTGATACCGTTGGAAACTTCTTCAAAAGCGATAAAAGTTCCTAGAAGATACTTTTCCATGATTCCAAACAGAAAGTATTCAAAAATTGACTCAAAGTTGCTGCTTTGGACCATTTAGACAGTTTCGGGGTTGGTTTTTGACCATCTTTGAAAATCCGGCAAAATTCATACAATACGAACTAACCTCCGAAATTTAGAACTCAATTAGAGCTACAATCAAAGTTTAAAACAAAATAAACGGTACAAGAATTGAAGTTTTGAGCGCCAAGATATAGCAGCTCAAAGTTGGCTAAAAATTCCTCCTCGATCAAGAATTTCCAGATTTAAACATGAACTTTGGGACTTTGTTTGAACATCTAAACAGACTCGAAATGGCACCAAATTTGGTATGATTATACTACCATATAAGGGCTATTCCTCTATCAAATGTCATAGAAAAATATGCACGGAAAATCACTTAACGAAATCACTCAAGTTTCCAAATTTTTAAGGCAAAGCTGCCTCGTGTATGAAAATTTCCTTTTCTAAACTTTTGACCAAGGGAAGATACCTAAAACATGTCTCGTTTATGATAATCAGGTCTAGCAAGAATTCAAAATACATTTGATAGGTGATTTACATCAAGAATTTCGAAATAACAAGTCCCAAGTCATTGTTAGTTACAAATCTGTCCAAGTGGAAAATTCTATCACTGTAGCTGTTTCAAACTTTGGCCACAACTCACTCAATTCAACTTGGAATTGGGCGTGGTTGATGGCGTTGGAAAGCTCTCTCATAAAGCTGAATTTTCTCAGAAGAAACCATTTTCAAATTCCATTCACAAACAGCTCGTTTTTGAGCATGAAGATACAAGTCCTGTCCTGTCTCCTGGAGAGAAACGAAACAGGACAGTGATTTTCAATCGAATGGTGTTGCTCACTCAAGTGGAACTAGAATGTGCATTTGGTACCAATGGAAAGCTGGGAATGTCTAGTTTCAAATGCCACCGACGGAACTCAATTTTGACATCGGAGTAAAGAGTTATAGCCGATACAAGATGACTGCCTGGGCAATACGGGATTCATTTTCCAGTTTTGCTAACTTTGGAAATCAACTCATTTAACCAACCAAATCATGTTATTTTTCAATGAAATTTTGTACACACTCACAATAACATGTAAACAATATAATCAAGTCATTAGAACCTCAAAATTGTGCACAGAAATGGTCGGACAAGGCAGGGGTAAAACGGTCACTTTTGCTCCAAGCACCTCCTATGATTTTCTACCAACAATACAACATTAATCCACTAATTTAAGCACTAAACCACCATTAAATCCATCATCAAGCATGAGATCAGTCCTCAAGACAAAGGTGGGAGTTCATAGAGCCCACCCATTTCATTTTACACCATAAACAAGCTACCCAAATGCAAATACTACCTTATACATGTAAGATGGTCTTCATAAAGCAAGATTTAAGTGTTGGATTAACACCTACTTGATTAGAGGATGAAGGCAGAAATTTCGGCCCCTTAGATGCTCAAGAAAACCATGGATAGCAGCTCCTTTTCTTAGCTCAATGGGATCTCTAAATGTTTAGTTAAGTGTAGTTCGAATTTGGAGTGAATTGGAAGAGGTTTGATGAAGATTTGAAGAAGGAAAAATGAAGAACTTGGTCTTGTTTTTCCTTGGAGTTGCACGGCTGGAATGAAGAAGGAAAAGAAGAGTTGCACGGCTATTTGAGGTGATAAAGTGGAGGGTTTTGATCTGGTGTGATGCACCCATGTGAAACTAAAATGTGTGGCTCTCATTGATTCAAAGGTTAACTCTTTTTCCCGCGCGTTTCGTGTTCGATTCCTCTCGAATTTGTTTCACTGGTGCACTAAACCTCTAATGCACTTATATTCATATAAATATTATTCACTCTCAATCATCCCAAAATAAGGGTCTAAAGTTCCTGAATTTAAATCGCGCGTGTGAAAACGCGTATCTCCAATTTAAGCGCGATAACGCGAAACTTCCGAGAAATTCTTATAACGATAGTACTAATAACTATCACTTGAGTATTTAAACATTAAAATACCGAATTTAGGTCCATTGTACATGTCTCCAATATTCCAAACTTATTGTACTCTCAAGCGGATAAAATCTCCAAGCACTATTCACTATTTTTACTAAACGCGCTCCAGGAAATTAATTCGTGAAATCAGTTACTTTAAAAATATAACGAAGTTATATTACCATGCATTTAGGTCTAATAAAACTAGAAAATATTCCTCGAGGCAAATATCCAATTAAATAATTTATTAAGCCACTAATTAGGCTAAAAAATAATAGTTTTTACGAGTCCTCACAATATCTAGATGCCAAAATTCTAAGGAAAGCGGATAAAGCATATAACACATAAGCTACATAAATACACAAAACCTGCTTATTACAACGGAGAATCGAACTGCAATCTAAAATGGGAAAATATAAAAAATAAACCTATCTATTCTATCTATTGCAACAGGGTACCTAATTACAATCTAAAATAGGGAAAATATGATAAAATAAACACATTTATCCTATCTATTACATTGGTCTATCTAATTACAATACTTGCAAAAATATTACCTATCAAATACAATACTTACATTTTGAGGTATTTAAACACCTCTCAAATAATTATAAAATTAACTAAACAAACATAAGAAAATTTGAATGAACATTTGAATCAAATAAATAACAAAGCATATAAAAATATATAAACAGATAGGAACACGTAGGAGCACATAAGAGCACGTAATTAATATTTAAATAATGATAGGGGTACCTCCCTTTTGAAGTGGTGACTAAATGGAGTCAAACTGCCCTATTTATACTCAAAATGAACAAAAGAATCATGACACCAATTTAATTAAAAATAATAATAATGATTAAAAATACTAAATTCATATTAATATGTCAAACATCTAAAAATTACAAGTTAAATGTATTCAACAGTAATATAATTAGCTATTAAAAAGAAGAAACAGTTATAATAGAGATAGTCAAAAATTCATTAGGGACTAAATTGCAAAAATAAAAAAATTTTGGGATAAAAGTATATTTTTACAAAGTTTAGGTGCCAAAATTAAATAAAGGATAAAATTCAATGACCAAAATACAATTAACTTAAGGGCCTAGATGAAAGAAATTTAAAATATTATGAGCCATAATAAAATTACTCCAAAGATTAGAGGCTAAAGTACAAATTCATTTCTGATGTCTTAGGAAAATAAGGTCATTGGGCTACCTTTTGTTTATTTCCGGGCCAAAAATCCGATCAGCCCAAAGTAAAAAAAATGGAAAAGGAGTGAACAAACCCACTAAATTTACTAAGCTTAGCCTGATGAAAACGGGTTGGGCCTGAACCCCAAACCCAGTCACTACTCCAATCAAAACCCAACACAAAAATAACTCTTGGCCCAACCAAAAATCAAAAAACAAGCCCACCAGAAAAAATAAAAATTAGCCCAACACTTTTTTCTTTTTTTTCCTTCTTTTTTTTTCTTCTTCTTCTTCTTCATTTTTCTTCTTCTCCTTCTCCGGCCAGCTGAAGCTTCTTCAGTCTGCGGCTGGCGACGGCGACCTCTCCAATCATCAAATTTGATCAAAATGCACATCCCCACTCGATTTTTTGCGTAGAATTCATTTTTGGGTTTAGTTTTTACAAAAAATGAACCGAAAGTGGCGAAAATAGCAAAAGACAGCCCAATTTTTATTTTTTCAAAACACCATATCCTTCACCAAAAATCATAAAAATTAGGGCAATAAACCTCAGCGGCTATTAAATTATTGGCGGGATCATGTTTTGGCCATCGAACTATTTTTTGTCAATAATTGGCCACTAAACAATTTAATCCATAAACCCGTGACCATTTTGTCATTAACTGCTCTTAAGTTTTGAAATTAGCATTACACGTTACAAGGTTCGAGGGCAATTTTGTCCAGCAATTTTCTGACCCTACAACTCAACTCCTCTGTTTCCTCCCCTTCTGAAACAGGGTACCCAATCCCACAAACCATGAATAGTCATTAGATTTTTCTTTTCAACTTTGATTTCTCAACCCATAAATGGCACTTTTTCGTCTTCTCCATTTGCCATCATGTCCCACAAACTTCTTCCGCTTCCACCAGAACCTTTCCTCAGCTTCATCACAACCCTCCACTCACAAACCTCCCACACTCAACGCCGCTCTCTCTTTTCCCTCTCTTTCATTCAAACTCCCATTTAAGTCTCAAAGATTCAATCTTTTTGAGTTCCAAGCCCCTTTTTCAACCCGAGTCCAACCCATTACTCAAAATTCAGAAAATGCAGAAAAAGATAACCAAGAAGAAGAAGAAGATGACGATAAAGGAGAAGAAGAAGAATTCTCTAAAACCAGAAATTTAGCTCAGAATGTTCCATGGACCTCCACTGTAGATGATCTTCGTCCTCTCTTTGAGAAATATGGTACTGTTGTGGACATTGAGGTTGGTTTACATTGATTTTTGTTCATTTCCAAAAAAAAAAAAAATACTACTTTTGCTCAATTTGGATTGTGTTTTTTTTTTCTTTTTAGCTTGTTTTGTTTGCTTTGAACATAATGGAACATAACGGTCCAGTTATATCTTGATTTTCTTGATATTCAATGCAATGAATGTCTGATTTGTGCAAAATGTTAATATTCTAAATGATTTTTTTTGTTTATTATTTTTTTGTTTGTTTAAGTTGTCAATGTATAACAAGACCAGAAACAGGGGTTTGGCATTTGTTAGAATGGCATCACATGAGGAAGCTTTGGCTGCTTTCAGGAATCTCGAATCGTATGTAAGCATATTTGATAAATCTGGGTTGTTTCTGGACATTGTATTTTTCATGGGATTATGTAAAATTCTGGTTATGTTATGAATTAAATTGCTGGACAAAATTGCCCCAGAACATTGCCACGTGTAATGCTAATTTCAGAACTTAAGAGCAATTAACGACGAAATGGTCACGAGTTTATGGATTAAATTGTTTAGTAGCCAATTATTGACAAAAATAGTTCGATGGCCAAAACGTGATCCCGTCAATAGTTTAATGGCCGCTGATATTTTTTGCCCTAAAAATTATACTACAACACTCCTTACAACGTCTACAATACAACTATGATTTTAATTTGACAAGAAAACAACATAAAAGGGCTAAATTAAAGCAAAAGAACCCCTAAAAATTCATTTTTCCTGTTGCCTTTTAGACTACAAAATCGACACAAAACTTAATTAAACAACCTCCCCAAACCATTAACTAGTCATGATTATTCATTTTAACAACAATATACGTACAAAATTAACATTTTAATTCGATTTTCTATTTAAGCATTTTCTCAAACATTGGCATGCATACACAAGAATCATTTCCTTTTCCTCAATCTAGTTCATGCCATTTCCCCAAATTCAGCAAAAACAACAAAGGAAGCCAGCAAAAACAAAAGAAAATTAAACAATGAAGCATGGATTTAACATGATAAAAAAACTAAAAATATACCTCAATAAATATGAAAATCTTTCGGTTGAAGTTTTTGATGAAATTTCCAAGCCTTAACCGATAGCTGCCCCTCCCTTTTTTGTTGCGTGCGAGTGTGTTGAGAGAGAAGAGAGGGAGCCGAGTGTGAGTTTGGGGGGAGGAAGAGTGTTTTTTTTCTTCTATGTATGTTTGCGTCTTCCCTTCTTGAGGGAAAAAGAAAGGGCTGAGACAAAGAATTAGGTGGTGTCCTTCTTGTTATGTTTGACTTCCAAGCAAAAAGAAGAAGCAAGGCCGAGAGATGTATTGAGAGTGGAGTGTTAGGTTGGTCAAAAATAATGAACTTCCAAATGACAAGCAAGGTGCATGGAAATAACATGATGAATTTTTTACCAAAATGAATAGACAGGTCCAATGGGAATTGAGTGTAAAAATGGATTAATAGTGGTTTTGGTAGGGGAGATGATTAAAATGTGTAAGTTTAGTCATGATTTGATTTTGATTTTTTTCATAATTTTCTTTTCTTAAAATAAACATACAAAAATGAGAATATACATTAAAATGCAAGAAAATAAATGACTCATCAAATAGAAAATATTCAAGAAAACATAAAAGTTTGGCAAAATTTTGGTGTCTACAGTACCTGCACCAGCCCTCTCATCATTTAATATATCTTAAAGATAATTTATATTAATTTAGTTTAATACTTTACATATTCATCTAAAATTCAAAATCTAATCCTTCAAGTATAATAAAAAGAGTGTTGTTCACTGTAGCAGGCTCTCTTTTTGACAAGTGGCTTGCTACTTATTTGACACTTGGCTGGATTTTTTAATAAGGGAAACAATGGAACGGAGGCATACAAGAAATCAATGGAACTAGCAAGTAAGACATTACATTGCCCATTACATTGTAATAGAACCAACGGGACCCATTACATTGCAATAGAACCTCTGTTATATGGCCCATTTCATTGTAAACACTTAAGACAAACAAGAAACCAGTCGTATCTCTTCTTTTCTTCTTCTTCGGGTGAAAGTACCAGCAAATACTCTTCCCTTCCTATAGCAGAGATGGTTCCTTCACATGCTTATTGTACTTGGAAGCATGGAAGGCCTGAAATCCCTCAGAGATTAGGTGTCTTGTTTTTCCCCAAAATTCAGGGATTTTTCCCCAGAAAAGTGGCCAACCGTTTGATTTCATTCATTTGTATTGGAATTGGTTTTGCAGCCATCCAATTTTCCCATGAACACCATAATTCTAAATCATATTTTCAGGGATTTGATGTGATAGACATTAAGTGAGTAGTAATTTAGGTTTTTAGGTTTTAAAAAGGAAAAGAAAGAGAAGTGCCCATATAAAGGGTGTATTTCTTTCTCTGAAGACCTTGCGCTTGGAAGGGAGCTTCTTCTGCCTCTAGCTTTGGTAAGGGTCCTTTTCATTTGTAAATTAGATTCTATTTTTTCCCCTAAATATGTGTAGTCATATGTGGTAAAGATATTAAAATTAGTAGATTTTTGGCTAAATGTTTCTCTTGGTTTATTCATGTAAAAATTTCGGCAAATATTACATATTAGAATAAGACATTAATCGGTTTATTAAATCATGTTGTGATCTATAAACTTTTTGTTAAATCATGTTGTGACCATCCGAAAGAAATTGGAACATTTTATGTAAATTCATAAAAACTTTCACCAAAAAAACATTTTTATTAAATCATGTTGTGAAAAACTTTGTCATACTCCACTGTGAAGAATTTGGACTCGGAACAATTCATTCTAATACTTCACTTAATCAGGTTTATTCTTCTTTTCTTTTTCCTATTTAATTTGTATTGCTTGCATTCTTTTTTGCTCCTTTTGCAATTGTGCTTGGGTTAGCTGCTCAATTAGCTTTCTGAATTTTCATTTTCGGTCAATTTAGATCATTTGACTATGTTTTTACTAGTAGTAAAACTTAACAGAATAGTAAATGGATCAATAATGAGAGTTATAAGACCATCATTTATTAATTTGGTTGATTTTCTTCTCACAATGTGCTTACTTTACTTGAAAACATATTTTTATACTTATAGATTATAACTAAACAATAAGTTTTATGGAGCTATGAAAACGATGTCTAGCACTGCTATTGTAATTCTTCAGTTTTTTTTTTTCATTGTGAATCTTTATTCTTCCTTTTCTTATACTGATTTTGCTTTTTTTTTTTGGCCTATGCTTACAAAATGTCGACCTGTTTCTTCAACTGAAGCTGGCTATTCTATTTGGTGTGCATCTTTTGCTCTAACAAGTTGGCATATTCAGTTCTCAGGTTTGTCTAAGAAACTAAATTTTGTGCTGTTTTTTTTTGTCCAAGGGATTTGGATTTTATTGGCTGTTGATTATATTATAGGTTGTGTGTCTCATGTTAAAAAGTTTTAAGCTTCAGGCATATTAATTGCTATCTATTTCATTTTTACATGATTGTGAGATACATGATGTAGTTAATGGTTTTCTTTCTGTTATGAGAGTAAAAGTCTTCACATGATGAGAATGAATGTCTGTTCCATATAGAATGCCTTGGATAGTAATCTTCTTTTTTTGTCATGGACTCTGTGATCAAAGAAAATTGTGATAATGTTCCTACTGTGATTTCTTAGTTTGATGTGGGTCAAATGATAAGGAAAAAGATTGCAGAAAAGATGCAATTCTTAGATGGAAAAAGAAACGATTAGATAGAGCAATAAAACGTTATAGTGTAGGAACTTTGCCTTCTGCTATTACGTCTTCCTCGCCACCTGTAAATTTGAGTAATATGCAAATGTGTATGCCTGCACTATTCCAGTTTACAAGGAGGCACACTTCCAACCTGACAGAGTATCCTACACAAATGAGTGTGAGATCACAGGCCAAAACATCTCAAACAAACCAACTTTTTGAGGTAGCCTCTGTAGAAAATCATATTGTAGACCTTGCTAAGATTGTGACTGAGCCTTCTATTGTTCAGTCTCTTCCCAGGTTGTCTTTATTCGATATAAATTCAAATAGTACGCAAACTGGTATGGATGTGTTATTTGAATTTGCAAATAGCTAAAGCGTAACTTTGAGACATCATCGGAAAGAGAAAGCTCTTGCATTGAAAGTTCAGAGATCTCAGAAAAAACATTCAAGTCAACAAGAATGTATGAGATCACAGATTATAGGGCCTCTTCCAAATGTCTCTAAATCTGTTCAGCCTCTAATACCGGATTTTGTTAACACATTTTAGCTACCAAATGCAAACTTGAATAGTTTGCAATCATGTATGTCTATCCCGTCGGAATTTTCAGTAGCTGAATCTTCCACCTATAGAAATCGACGAAAACAGAGAGTGCTTAAGATGACAGCCAAAAAAACTAAGCAAAATCAGCTGGATCAAGCACAGAATATAGGATTTGAGAGTTTGCAACCTCTCATAAGTACAATTGAATAGCATAATCCTGAGGGTGTTGAGATTTTAAATCAGTCTAATCAAGTTGTTCACCAATTACAATCGAATGCGTCTCAGCTTTCAGGTACTTAATATAGCACTGCTTATTAATATAGTTCTTCCCATCAAGTAACTGATTTTATATATCTTCAAAACTCTTTCTATCTTCTTAGAACAGTATAACCAGTTTTTTCCTTTACTTGAAATCAGTGATTTTTTTTCCATTTTTTAAAATTTAAAATTTACTTTTTCTACTATAAATTATTTGTTCTAAATGCATGAATTTAAACCCTTTTTCATGTATCATGTAAATTTTTCCATTTTTTAAAATGCATAGGCCTTTCACATTCACATGATAACAAACATTTTTAACTTTAAATTGAATATTGAAAACCATTTTTTTCCAATTATTTAATTTATCTAATTCAAGTGGCTGATATTGGACTCTACTTTACAGGTATACTTGAACAAAATCAAGGGAAAACTAAGAGAAAACGTACAAGTCTTTTAACATTTACATTATTAAATGACTTGGGTATTTTATATTCTATTATTGTTTATTAAACAAGTTAAGTCATTTAAAATCGATCTTTTATTGATCATAGGAAGAGTTCAAAAAAAGGGCGAGACCTGTTAGATTGCATTCCAGGTGCGGCAAGCATTCTTCCAAAACAACCAGATTGCCCACATTGTGGTGCAAATTTTTTTTTCCATGAAACAGCCAACTTTTGCTATTCAAATGGAGACACAGTGTTAGCTAGCAACCCAATTCCAGCTCCTTTAAAAGAGCTATTAACTTCATCTTCAGAAAAGGCAAAATTATTTAGAATATGTATAAGAACAATTAACAACATTTTTGCTTTCACTTCTTTTGGAGTTAAGTGCGAGAAGAATCTAGCAAAGAGAAATAAAGGTGTCTATACATTTAGGATTTAGGGGCAAATTTATCACTTCATTAG